GGGCTGTCCTTGCTACAGGTCTCCACCAGATGCATCCTGGTTTCCACTGGTCTCAGGGCCCTGCTAGCTTTCTAGACTGAGTGTAGACAGAATTCCTTTCCTTTTAATTTAGTGGATCAATTTGGGAGTTTCATGAAGGGAGATTGGTAAAGCCATTCAGCAATTATAATGAACAGAGAATATAATTATAATGAACAGAGCAAAATGAACAGAGAATACAGAAATAGGGCTTGGGGGGTAAACAGGCACAGCTTCTTGCTCATGACCTCCAGCGTGTCACTGTCTGTGCCATGATTTCCATGTTAGAGACTCGGTTTCCTGAAAAGGCCTTAGAGCAGCCCTACCTACCTTTCTAACCTCAGCTTCTATCTGCTGACTCTTTCTGCTCCAACTTCATAACCCTTTCCAGTTGTGTTTCTCCTGCCACAGGGACTTTGCACATGTGGTATCCTCTCTCTCTGTTAGTCATGACTCCTTCTTCACTAATTAACCACTACATTTAATCTGTGACCTTCTGAGGAGGTAAAAATCCCTCCTTTTACTATCAGAAACTTTGACTTGATGTCACTTAGCCATTGTTATCCGTGGAATTATCTGCCTAACGTATGTCTGTGTGTCTATCCCACTAGAACAAGAGTCAGTAGCCTACAGCTAACTTTGAGCCAGATGTGGTGTATTTCTGCCCTCTGCCAGTCTTGTCCTTTGGCTTTGGCTCCTGGATGACACCTGTTCCCTGTCTAGGGGCAGGACCCCTTCTGTGGTCTCTTAGCAGGGCGCTCTGCACCCTCCCTGTTGCCATCTGTGCTGCTCGGCCTGTTAGAAGCTCATTCTGAGTGTGCTTTGCTGCGGCCTTCAGGAGATCCCTCTGGTGTCCTTAGGCACAGTTCACCGCAATCATGTAATGACACCACCGTGTCTTATCCCACATCGCCTCCTGCAGGAGCAGCAGCCACTGTCCCTGCGTTCCACAGAAGTGAGGCTGGAGGAGAATCTTGATGGACCACAGAAGCCGAGGCAGTTTCTTGGGGAGAGGACTAGGCAGGGGAGAGCTAGGGACGAAGCCTAGACCCTGCTGTGCCTGCCTCCGGTACAGACCCAGAGGAAGGTTTGGTCAGACTAGCTCAGCAGATAGACAAGCCAAGCACAGCCTGCCATGGTACGTGTGACTGCAGGAAGAACAGTCTTTTCTCCCTCTAGGCTAGGTACTAGAGACTGAACCTAGGGCCTCAGGCATGCAAAGCAAGTGCCCTACCACTGAGCTATAGCTCCAGCCTTTTTTTTGTTTTGAGAAAGCATCTTGCTAAATTGCCCAGGCTGGCCTTGAACGGGCCCTTCCTGCCTCAGGTATGTAGCTGGGATTACCAGCACTATACTTGGCTAAAAGTGATTTTTCCACATATATATGGAAAAAGTATATCTATAGATGGAAAAAGATATAAAAATATATATATATCTATTTTTGTAGAGCTGAGAGTCAAACCCAGGACCTTATACATTGTAGGCAAGTTCTCTACCACTGAGCTACAACACTTACAGCCCATTTTTAACTCCTTTTAAATGATCAAAGAAATAAATGAGAATTTTTTAACAGTAAAAGTGATAGTAAATTCAAGCTGGGTGTGGTGGCTCACACTTGTAATCTCTGCATGCTGAGAGGCTGAGGCAGGAGGACCTAGAGTTTGAGCCCAGCTTGGACAATGTAGCAAGGCCTCGTCTCACAGTAAAGGGCTGGGGATGTAGTTCAGTGTGAAGGCCTTGGGTACAATACCAAGTACCTCTGCCAAATTTTAGCAAATTCAGATTTCAGTATCCATAAATAAGATTTTATCAGAACACAGCCAAGTTTATTCATTTATGTCTGTAGCTGCTTTTGTGTTGAAACGGTAGAGTCCAGTAGTTGGCAAAGAGGCTCTGTGGGCTGTAAAACCTAAGATATTTACTATCTGGCCCTTCAGAGAAAAAGTTTGGTGACATGGTTGGCCTGAGCTGTGACAGGGCTTCCTCTGAGCCCACAGAACACCCGTGTTCAGTGCTGCATGGCCCTGTGCCTGCAAACCCCGCGGCTTCCACCCAAGGGTGTGGCAGGGACTGAGGAGCCATTCCTCAGAGCAGGTGGGGCCTCCAGGAGAACACAGCACAGCCCTTCAGACCCTGGGGGGTGACCAGGAGGCAAGTGCTTGCTGTGCCCCAGGGGCCATGAGAAAGCGTCTTCATTCTCGCAGTAGCAGTTCCCAGCTTTTAAAATGCAGGTAAAGTAGGAGGCCCTGGGTTTGATCCCCAGTACTGCAAATGAATGAGTAAAAAAGTAGGTAAGTAAATAAATAAGTAAATATTAAAGTGCAAATCATTCTGTCTGAGAAGCTTCATCATTGCGAGGAATGTGTCAGTTACCGCACAGCATCTTGAACACAGTAGCTGCTCAGTGAATATCGAGTGGGCACTTCCTGTGGAGGGATACAGTCCCCTTTGACAAGCTGGCCGCAGAAATCAGCAGCCCAGTGCACGGTGTGGAACGGAGCACAGCGACGGACACTAGAGATGAAATTCTGTCCTTTCCTGATGCTGTGTGACCCTGAGCCTCACTTGCCCCTTTCTTATGTAATATTAAGGGGCCCTTCCTGCTCCAGAATTAGGAAACATTGATTTTGCAGGAGCTCTACCCCTGAACCACGTCCCAGCCTGGAAGCCTACTTCAGTTATGGGACCCCGTGCCTCTCTCCTAGGTGACACTTGCATGGCTTCTCTCTCACTCTGTGCCTGCAAGCACATTCAGGAAATCTTCCTTCAGCAAGCAATTTTTTTCTTTTAGTTTTATTTTAAGATAGAGTCTTACTGTGTAGTTCAGGCTGGCCTTGAACTCATGATCCTCCTGTATTGCCTCCCAAGTCCTGGGAAGACAGGCATGGTCTCTCACACCTGGCTTTCAAGAAGGCTTTTGAGGGGCTGAGGATTTAGCTCAGCAGCACAGCGTCTGCCTGGCAAGCTCAAGGTCATGAGTTCAATTCCCGGTACGGGGGCGGGGGGGGGGAGGAAAGGAAGCCTTTTGTGCGTACAGTATATTCATTCATTCAGTGTCTTCAGTTATGTTTTTGAGGGTATCATTTCATGCTGCATAAAGTCTTTTCTAAAGCCGCTGCTCTCTTCTCACCTCTGCCTGTCCCCAACGTGTGTACCAGAGTCTGGAGAAACCAATTTTCCTACAAAGATGGATCTCCCTCCAGAATAAGACTCACCCCACTGCTAAGTGAATATCATTTCCTCCCTCCCTACTGAGCCAGACAAAAGTGTGCCCACCTCGATGAGCACAGTGTCTCTATGTGTTAGATGAGGTGATGTACCTGCTGGCTTTGGCAGGTAGGCTCTTTCTTTGTGATTTGGGGATGCAGGGGGGGTCAGGGTAGTGGGAGAGATGGAGAGGCTTGGGCTGGAGCCCAGGCCAGGCTGGTTTAGCCTGGTGGTCACCCAGAGGGGTTTAGTTACTAGCAACAGTTCCTCCACATACATCCTTCAGGCTCTAGAAAAATACTCCTATGTCATAGATAACCCTCCTTGGATTACTGTCACCTCTCTAGCCCAGGTCTGACTCCTGCGAGGCCTCTGGTTTGGAACAAGGGCTAGCACTGTGGTGCTGCAGGTGGGTGTCTCGAGGGTGGGCAGCGTGGGGCCTGCGGGGTACAGGACTCCTCCCACCCCTCCGCTTCCTTCAGGATTCAGGTTCTCCTTCTCATCTTTCCTCAGGTGGAGAGCTGGCCTGGGTGTTTTTTTCTTTTTTCTTTTTTTTTTTTTTTTGGTACTGGGAATCGAACTTGACCTTGCTCTTGCCAGGCAGGTGCTATGCCACTGAGCTATATCCCCGGCTTGGCAGCATGTTTCTTAGCAAGATTCTCGATGCTGAGGCCTGGGCTTTGTAATTCTGTTACTTATCTATCTAGACTTATCTGATATATTGTTATCTGTTTTCATTTTTTAACCTCAGAAATTCTTTTTTAAGCTCCATGGCTCCATGGATTTTGCTGTGGGTGAAGATGTTTCTCCCAACCATTGGAAAGCAAGTGGTTGTGATAGGGTTAAATTGTGTCCTAGACCTTTGTTGAGGAGGCTCTTGTCCTCCACAACTGCCCCTATCCATATCAATCTCCATTTTTTTCTTTAACTGAGACCTTTCTCATAGCTTTCCTTCCCCAGCAAAGATAAATCAAAGAGCAGCAACACCTGCCATTGTTATGTGGGATCATCCTGGGCTCCAAATAAAACAAAACAAAATGAGAAGATGTTTAGAAAACAGGGGTTCAAGCCCTAGTTTCTGTTAGTCCTTTGTGTGTCTTCTGAAAGACTGTTTCTTTGTTTAAATGTTTTGGTTTTATGACTTAATGTTTTCCCCAAATATAAAAATTGTTTGTGTTCGTCTGTAAGATGCAGAAGGCACCAAAAACAGAAGGAAATGTAAACAAAAACCATGCCTAGGCCCACTGTTAACATCTTGATGTGTTTCTCTGGAGAGCTTTGTTTTCTCTGAAATATGCTTACATAGTTACCAGACGTGATGCAATTGTACACAGGGCTTGAAGCCTGCCTTCCTACCTACCTTTGTTTCATGAGCATTTCCTAGACATTAAAAGTTCTTCAAAAGCACCGTCTGTATTAATGGCTACAAAATACTTATTTAATTATTTGCAGCTTCTTCCACGCTTAGCTTGGGCTATGTACAATTTTTCACCCTATAAATTATGTTCCATACTTTATTACTATTATTTTATTTTATGCATATCTGAAAATTCTCTTAGAAGAAATTTTTGGAGGTAAGACTACTGGTAAAATCCAGTCATGGAAGCTCACTTTAGTCTTCACCGTTAAACCAGCACAGTATGTTTTATGCTGGATCATATAAGAAAGAGCTCAGTAACTAAAATAACAGAAGGACTTGGTAGTTTTTGCCTGGTGTGTACCTGGAGGGCAGTATACCATCATGCTCTTGCACTGTCATTATGGGTTGGGATAGTCTGAAGAGGCGATGATGTCACAATAGTGTTCATTGGGTGATTGGTGTGTGCTAGGCCCTGCTCTCTGTGTGGTATTTGCTCCTTCATATTGTGACTAGCACCTTTTTACAGATGTGGAAACTGAGGCCACCTCCACTCGAACATAGGCACACAGCCCCGACAAGTCTGTCCCTGCCTGGAACGCCAGTGAGTCAGAGCCCTGGCCTGCTCAGATGGAGCGTGTGTCACTCGGGGCTGCTTGATCGGGAGGGAGAGGGTGCCGCCTTGGCCCCTGGTGAGGTCCTGCCTTCTCTCTGCAGTGAGGGCACCAGTTCTATGTCTGGAAGGGAAGAGAGATGGGCAGCAGCCTGTTCTCAGGAAGCTCCTTCCCCATGGAGGTGACAGTCGTGAAAAAGCATCCTGCTTTGATGGCTTGGAGTTCGTTGTTCATTTTCGACAACTTTTAGAGCATCAGGCTGCCTAGTTAGAGGTGACGCGTCCTTTCCATTTCTCACAAATTTGGTTTCAGGATGTTCTTGGCTCATCTGTTGGTGCAGTGCTTGATGCGAGTCTAAAGTGGGTGTTCTAGAGATGCTGGCCGTGGTGAGTTGTGGGCTGGTCACTCGTTATCTGGGCTGCTGTCCACTGCAGCGTCCCTTGGTTGCACACAGCGTTCAGCTTGGGTGGGCAGCGGCTGCTCACTGTGCGCAGTGTGCACCTGGGTGTGCAGGGCTGATTAAAGACCGGGGTCCTATGCCCTACTTCCTCTGCTTACTCTAAACAGCGCTGGTGTTCAGAGGCCTACACGGAGGGTGCCGGTCCCACAGATGACTTGGTGAGGCCCGGCCCAGCCCCTGCAGTGAACAGTGGCACCACAGCACAGCAGCCTCATGGTCAGCCCCCAGGTTCCTCTTGGGAAAACCCCGCCAGGCTCTGGATGTGCTCACTGACTTGGTGGTGACTGAAAGCCTCGCACTTGGGCAGTGCCTTCAGTGACCGTGGGTAGAAGTGGACCGCAGTCTTTCTGGGCCCTGACAGCGTGGAGCGCTTCTGCTGTAGGGAGGGGTCTCTGCATGATTTGCTACAGGCGTCCTCCGCCCAGCCTGGGGCCCCAAACTCGGGGAGGTTATCCACGGAACTTGTTGAAGCAAGGCAAACCCTGTGGTGTGGAGTGAATGGGATGGGAAAAAGTGGAAGTAAAGGTACTTTCTTCTTTTGTTTTGAGATGGTCTAATAATGATGATGATTAACATTTATGAAGTGTTTACTATGAGCCAGGTCCTGTTTCCAAACACTTTACATGCATTCTTTCCTTTAATTCTTATAACAGTCTTGTGAGGTACAGTAGTTTTTTTGTTTTTAAAGAACATATTGAGGGGGCTGGGGATTTAGCTCAGTGGCACAGCACCTGCCTAGCAAGTGCAAGGTCATGAGTTCAATTCCCAGTACCAGAAATACACTAAACAAAACAAAACAACAACAACAACAAATAAAGAACATATTGATTAGCTGGACATGGTGCTACATGCCTGTGATCCTAGCCTTGAGGAAGCTGAAGCAGGGGGATTGCCATGATTTTGAGGCCAGCCTGGGCTACACAGTGAGTTCAAGGCCAGCCTGGACTATACCCTGTCTCAGAAACTAAAGAAACAAGAACATTGATTATAAAGATGAACAGGTTTATTGTGACTTTTTCAATCCTGTCTAACATACTTTGATCATATCAGAACCCTGTTACTATCTCTTACCCTCCTCTTTTCTCTCTCATGGTCAGCTTCTTGACTAACACTCTGCCTTCTACTCTCATGATGGCCCCCTCCTTCAACCCCAGATTCCACACGTGAGAGAAAGCACGCAACATGTGTTTTGCTGAGTCCAGTTTATTTGGCCTGACATGTTTGTCTCCAGTTCCATCGATTTTCCTGTAAAGGAACTTGATTTCATTCTTCATTTTACAGCTGAATAATACTCCATTGTGTATATATACCATATTTGCTTTGTCCATCCATCCATTGACAGACTTCTAAGCCCCAAATTATGCTATTGTAAATTGTGCCATGGCAAACATGGGTGTATGCAGGCATCCCTGTAATATCTGACTTTGATTCCTTTAGGTGTATACCAAGAAGCAATATAGGGGGGGTCATGTAGTCATTTTGTTTTTAGGTTTTTGAGGAACCTTCATACTGATTGCCAAGAAACAGTGGAGGTAACTTTTTAGTATTTCCATTTTACAGATAAGGAAATTAAGTAATTTTCTTCTGGTCTAACGTAGTAGGATTCAAACCCAGTCTTGACTGTAGGGCCATTCAAACCGAATATTTAAGAACCTAATTTCCTATGAGAGATATATCTACATAACATCCTAAAGAACTGTTAACATGTAGTTTACACCCTATCTTACATATATGTATTAACAGAAGATGTTATTTATATTATTGTCATATATATAATACCTATATCTACTTTTCTATAGATTAATCAGCAACATCTGGTAGTGAGGCTAGCTTGAGCAATCCATATCTATCTAATTTATTTATTTATGGAAGTGCTGGGGATCAAACTCCAGGCCTTGTATATTCTAGCCACTTTATCATTGAGCTATATCCCCAGCTCAGCAAAACATACAAAAGAATGAATATATCATAAGAGATAAGATTTGGACCTTACATGTCCCCAGGAGCTCAGGTGTTGAAGGCGTTACCTTTGCCTGTGGCATTGTTCTGGATGGTGGAGTCTCCCTTCTTAGTAGCAGGAACTTAGGTAATTGGGGGTCACTGAAGGGATATTGGTACCCTGGCCCCATCCCCTCTTCCTGCTTCTCTCTGCTGGTGCACTGTGGCCACACAGCTTTGTTCCACCACATACTTCCTGCCTATATGTTCTGCCCCATCTCAGGCCCAAAAGCAACTGAGCCAGCCAACCATACACAAAAACCTCTGGAACCATGAGCCAAAATAAATCGTTCCTCCTCTAAGTTGATTTTCTTGAGTATTTTGTCACAGGGATGGAAAGCTGTTAACACAGCATGTGCACAGTTTTACAGTTTCCACACACTGAATTGAGAACACAATCCTGCATGTGCTCCCAGAACAAGGCCTAGATCCTCACCACCCGAGAGCCCTTGTCCAGCCTCTTGCTCCCTGGGGGTGGTCTCTGTCCTGACTTCTGAGCCAGGGATTACTGAGCAAAGGGAAATGTTTCAACATGGCAAAATTACCAAAGTTCATCAAGAAGCAGTACCTTCCCCAAACGCCTGTGAGGGCTCTAGTTGACTTTACAGCTAAAAGGTGGAAGAGTAGGGAGCCAGTTTCCTATGAGCAGATAAACCTCAGAAAATCAAAATAAAGATGAATCACTGAGTTGGGGCTCCAGGAGGTCACAGTTCAGTTGGTCCTGTGCCTGCACTGAGACCCAGAAGCTGTTTCTGTGACCGTGGGAGGATCATGGCCGGGGGTTAGCATGCACCTATCCAAGCCTATTTGTATGCAAAACAATGAACAATTTAAAGGGCAATCTGTGAAATTTTATATATGAATAAAAATATTCAAAATCTCTTCTAGTAGTCAAGCGTTAGGCATTTGGCAGCCATATTTAGAAGCCTCTGAGTTCCGTTTCTAAGATTTCTTACAGGAAATTGGGGAGTGGCAGCCATATTGTTAAAAGATACTTCTGCCTGCTTGTTACCTGACTGGACCAAGCATAGGCATCTGACACAGGCCAGGCCAGTTCTATCCTCCCTTCTAGGAACTGGTCGCTGGGATGAAAGGAAGCTGGTTAGAGCTGATCTCTTAAAGGGCAAAGGAACATGAGAGTGGTGGTGTTGTACCACAGGCAAAGAAAAGCACAAGGCTGGAGGGAGAAGAAGAGAACAGATGAGCTGAGAAATAGGTGAGTGTCATGAAGTAGAGACCAGAGAAGTTGGTGGAGGAAAAAGAGAATGCCAGAGCCACAAGGCTACTAGGCTCCTGCTGGTTTTCTGATGTAGTTCCTGTTAACCCATTGTGAGACCCAGCTATGCCTCTTCTTCTTGGATTCCATTAGCTTATACTCTAACCCTTACCACCATTTTGATAAAAGTAGCTTGAAAGGCTTTGTGTTCAGCTTTTTGTTGCTTGGACCAAAATACCTGACATACACAACCTAAAAGCAGAGAGGTATAATTCAGCTGACAGTTTCAGAGAATTCAGGCCATGGTTGGCTGGCTCCAAGGCAGGAACATCATGGCAGGGCTCAGCAGAGGAATGTTGCTCACCTCACTGTGGCTGGGAAACAGGGCAGGGAAGCAGTGCCGCAGGGGTCAGATACAGTGCTCAGGACCATGCATCCAGATATACCCAGAAGTGTGCTTTACTAATCCTCTGGGTGGCTCGCAGGCCACTCAAGTTGACAGTCTAATTTAACTGTCACAGGTTTCTCTTGTTACATCTAAAATAGCTGTGTAATAAATCACCCCAAAAGTGAGTGGCTTGAAACAAGAACACTTATTTTCTTATGGATCTGCAGTCTGAGCAAAGCTTAGCATAGACAACTTGTTTCTACTCAGACTTTGTTTTAGTAAAGATGGCTTGGAGGTGGGGGTGCAGAGGACTCAATTTTATCAATTTTCACACATGCCTGGCTCTTGGACTGGGAAGAATCAAGTAGTCAGGGGCTGGGGCTCCCGAATGGGGCATAGCACCTGTAGGGCTGCACAGAATCCTTTTGATTTCCATGTGCTTTTCTTCATGAAAAACATCAGGGCTCCCGAGGCATAGGGCCCAAAGAGACCGGCCAGAGGCCATATGGCCTTTAGATCCCAGCTTCATCCTATCCAGTAACAAAGACCCACCAGGTTTGAGGGGACCTCTCTGTGAAGAAATACCAGCATCACATTGTAACAAGAGCATGTGAGAATGGATATTAGGTGGCCTTATTTAGAAAATATTAATTGCTCATACTTATAAACAAAAGAACCTTGATTAATATGTGAATTAGTCCCTAAAAATAAAAAGTACTGGAGTTCTCAGAAAACTTTACATGCTATGTTAGAAAATAGGTTCATGGGTATAATAAAAATTCTCTTTTTTTCCTGCTCTGAGTTGATGAATAGCAAACTTATTCATAGGAAGTCTCCCAGGTACTACTCAAGAAGCTGCATTTTTGTTTGTTTGGTTTTTGAGTACACTCACTGTGTACTCTAGGCTGGCCTTGAATTCTCTATGTAACCCAAGTCAGTTTTGGACTAGCAATAATCTTCCTGCCTTGACCTCCCAACTGCTGGGATCACAGATGCTTACCACTATGTCTAGCTAGGAAGCAGCATTTTAAGGATGACTGGTCTCCTGGGTTCTGGAACTATTTTATGTTTTATTTTATTGTATAATTTGATGTGGATCAAGTTCAGATCACTTCTTGGAGAAAAAGTTTCTGAATGTCTCATTTTCAAATGTTATTTGGAAGCATTCCCTTCTTGCTAGGTAAATAAGATTCTCCTTCCGACGGGACCCTTCTCATTCTCAGTAAATAATCCACACTTTCAGTTTGTAGTTGTAAAGTAGGCACTGGGGAATGATGTATTAACTGCTTCAGTCCTCCAAGTATGTAAAATGTTATTGCTTCACATCTCGTAATAGAGGCATGAAGCCTTTGTCTTGATGTGTGTGGCAGGTGACGGCTAGGAGAGGAAGGGTAGCAGACAAGGATAAGGACAGGAAGTTGACTTAACTGTTTGGCAAGGCTTAAAAGAAAAGATTTTAGCCTTATAAATCCTAAATCCTGAAAGATATTGAAGCTCTGGAACAAGACTGTTGCTAAGCCAGTGTTCTGAGCGTGGTAACTGCTGGGAGGATGAACTTCTTGTTGATGCTGACTGAAAGTAGGCACATTCTGTACTTGATGATAGTATTGCCAGTACTGCAGTAATATGCATGTTAACTTAGTGCTTGCCTAATACAATATGCACATTGTGATTACACAGAGAAAACTTCTAACTGCGGTTTAAAAAATAAGTAATAAAAGGTTATTCAAGTTTAGGCTAACATCTTTAATTTGTATGTTGAGTTTGTTATCTCAAGTATGGTGAATGATGGTCTCATCAGTGGCTAGATTTTCAAATTCTACCTGTAATAACAAGTGATAAATATTATTATTAGTAATAAACGTGTGAATATAGGAACAGCATAAATAGTAGGCATACTATGGATCCTGTACAGCTGGTGATGTTTTGGTATATTTTCAATAATTGATTTTCAAAGAGAAAAAAGCCCTGATTTGTAGTGTTTACTAAGTTCTATGGTATAAATATCTTCATGGTGGCTGATTTCAAGCTATTGATGTGGTGTCACAGAGTGCAGAGCAGGGAGCAGATATGCACAATTGGCTCTGAGAGCTGTGTGAGCCCATCCTGCACACCACGGTTTACAGTTTATGGAAAGCAAGCTGATACCTGGATAAACCTTATTGTGATGCTAGAGGGAACAATTTGTGTTGTCAAGGCGGGTGGCAGAGGCATTAAAGCCTGAGAATGTCCATTTACTCCAGAGTTCTTGCCGGCCAGTGGCCTCGGAGCTAAGACGGGAACAGCAAGGGTTGGCAAGCAACTATAGCCTTTCCTCCCATGCTCTGCAACCAGCGAGAGCATCTGTTCCCAAAGAGGCAGACACGGGAGCCTGTGTCCATGCAGTTTCACAGGATTTGCATGGGTGTTACCATGCTTCAGTTAGTTGTTGTACCTTAGTTCATTTTTTGCTGCTGTAATGAAAAACCTGAGGCTTTATTAAGAGGTTTATTTGGCTCCCTCAGTCTCAGCAATGCACACTGTAGATCCTGCCACCTCTGAAAAGCCCCACCTATGACCGCATAAGGCTTTCGGGGGACATCTAGACACAAACTATAACATTTGGTGATCAGTAAATGCCTCTACCCTAAAGTCTTGTGGGGTTCTTGGCCTTTATTATGGTTTGAATCTTAAATGTCCCCATATATTAAAGGCTTAGTGTCCAGTCTGTGCCACTGGAAGTGGTAACATTTTAGTGGGAAGAAGTCAGGTCCCTGGTGGACAGGCCGTTGGCAGGGTCATTGAGATTCTGGCACTTCCTCTGTTTGCTTCCTGGCTGCTATGAAGAGCAGCATTGCTCACCATGGACTCCCATCTATGGTGTTTTGCTTTACCACGGGCCCAAAGCTGCAGAGTCCATCAACCATAGACTGAAATCCCTCAAACCATGAGCCAAAGTGAACGTTTGTTAAGTTGGTTTTCTCAGGTACTATGTCACAGCCACAGACAGCTGACCAACACAGCCTCTTTATTTCTTCCTTTTCCCTTACTGCATACTCTGTAAGAAATATAAGAGAAAGAGAAAATGAGGGAAAGGATGGGGAGAAGGGGGAGGGAGGATGGAAAAAGGAAGGAAGCAGGAAGAGTGGAAAAATAGAACACATAAAGGAATTTACTCTTTTGACTACAAAATCTGCCCATTAAAACCAATAACAAACCAACAGTATTAACAAGTACTAGAAAGCAAACTATTGACAAAAAACTACTAGGAAAGACTTTCATTGTGTTAACCAGGGTTTTTTTTCTTTGTAATCAGCAGTGATAAGAAAACTAAACCAGATTAAGTACAGTCGCCTTGGAGGCACAAAGGCAAACAGAGAAGGAGTGATTGAAGAGCCCTTCAGAAAGCTGGGTCCGTTTACATCAGCAGGGCCTGATTACTCACATCCCAGAGCACTCAAGGACCTGGAAAATGTAATTGCAAGACGCCAGCCTTTGTTTTAGAAAATGAAGATTGGGCAGGAGAGGGTCCTGATATGCAAAGTCGGCAGCCAGAGTACCTATCTTTTAAAACAGGGAAAGGACAACTGTAGTAATTATAGTCTTCAGTTTATCTTGGGTGCCTGGGAGGATAGAAGAATAAATCATCAAACAATCAATTTGCAACCACCTAGAAGAATACAAGGTACTGAGTAGTAATCAACATGATTTTTTGAAGTGGGAATTATGCCAGGCAAACTTAATTTTATCTCTGAACCTGGTAGTAGAGGGAAAGCTGTACCTACGCTGGACTTCAGTCAAGTAGGGGCCTGTGTGTGTGTGTGTGTGTGTGTGTGGGCCTGTGTGTGTGTGTGTGTGTGTGTTTTAAATTCCATCCCCTGGCATTATTTCGACATTGATTCTCTAAGAGGATGCTACTTAGTTTTTGTTTTTGTGTTTTGCTACTGGACATTAAACTTACGGCCTTTGTACAGAGCTACACTCCCAGTCCTTTTTTTACTTATTTTGAGACAGGATCTCACTAAGTCACTAAATTATGTAGGCTGGGCTTGAATGTGTGATCTTCCTGCTTCAGTCTCCCAGAGTGCTGGGATAGAAGAGGGTGATACCAAATCTGGCTGAGGATGCTTCTTAGAACAACAGTTGGGTAGGCATGAATTTTACTCAAAGCAGTAAAAATGAAGAGTCTGCTGCCAGTTAATAATAATTGTTAGTTTGTTTTGGTGGTGGTGGTATTGGAGAGTGAACCCAGGACCTTCACACTGATCTACATCCCCAGGCTTTTATTTATTTTTTTAATTTTGAAGCAAGTACTATATTACTAAGTTACCCAGGTTGGGCTTGAATTTATAATCCTTCTGCCTGAATAACTTAGTTAATTTATGTGGACAGAGACTATGACTATACTGAAGATGCTGAGGTGGAAATATTATTCTCTATCACTGCTGGAAAATATAGGGGAAAATGAGAGATAATGAAAACTTATCTAAGAGCCCCAACAGCTGAGTACCCAGAAATGGAGATCAGGCACAAAGATAATAAGGGAAATTATTAGAGAAATTGCATCAGGAAATTTCCTAGGAAAGGACACACATCTTTACACTAAGAGAGCCCCATAATTGCCAACTATGATAAATAGGGAAAATAACCCACTTGGACACAATTTGTCAAGTTTTAGAACTCTAAAAGTAAACATAAGTTTCTAAGAGCTTCCAGAGAGAAAAATTAGGCCACCTATGGAGGAATGCAAATTGAACAGCCAAGTTCTTATTAGTATTTCTGCCTGCTATGAGGTAATAGTAGTCCCTTCAGTTCGGGGAGAAATAGAACTTGAAACATATTTATATAAAGGCACTCCTCATTTAACGACCAAGCTACATTCCCACAACTAAATCCTTAAATGAGTTGCTCACTAAATGAGGAATTGGCTATAGTGTGTTCATTACAATATTTGACCAAAGGAATGGTCAAAGGAAACTCCGACTTCATGACTTTGCTTTTATTTGCATAACTCTTACATGCAGGACTGTAATGTATAACAGAAAATAAAGCTACAGTGCTGTACTGTATGGAAAGTCAGTGGAAATCACGGTACTGTACTGTAGAAGAGGCCTCCATAGTGCCACACTGCCGCTCACATTCCTGCATCCCAAGTCCAAGCAGAGGACCGAAAGTCTGAACAGTGCACTTTGATAGTAAACCAGGACAGTCACTAAACAGGCAGGTAGTTACTCAAGGAATATTTGTATCTAACTAACTGCCAGCCAACCCAGACTGTGAAGTCTAGGCATCTCCCACAGACCAGGACATGGCAGATACACTTCCCAGGACCCTTACTTAAGTTTATGTGTTCCAGCAGAAGGAAGAAAGTGTCCAAGGAGGAGGCAGGGAGGAGTTCCCTAATCCAGGACAGAAGAGAAGAGTATCATGCAGAGTGGGGCAGATGAGTCTTTCGAAAAAAGAAAGACTCAGACAAAAGAGAACTATGTGGAGTTCATGTATCATTAAGATAACAGCTACAAACACTGTTTTAGTGTAAGAAAAGTACCGATCTAATAAAAAAAGAAAAAAGAAAATCTGTGGGTCAGGGAGGCAGCTCAATGTTAGAGCACTTGCCTAACATGGGCAAAGGCCTTGGCTGCATCCTCTGCATAACAAACAACAAAATTAAAAGCTAACTGAGAATGTTATGGTCCTGTTTTGAAAAATAATACAAGGTTGTGTGGTCTTCAACCATTTGGGGATGATGCGCATGTGATGCTAAACATTTTCATTTGAAGAGATGTGACTGCCCTGGAGCAAAGTAAAGTGCAGTTTAACAGCTTACCTCAACTGCCAGGGCACAATCTTACTAGTATATCTTTTTTCTACAGGGCCTCATTATGTCATCCAGGATAACCTTGAACTCACTGTGTAGTCCAGGCTGGCCTTGGACTCCTGATCCTCCTGCCTCAGCCTCTTGAGTGCTGGGGATTTCATTGTATCACATGCCTGGCTATCACACAAGGTAAGTGCTCGAGTTAGGGTGTTTTGTTTTGTCTCCTAACTAACCAGGCTATATATTAGATCTCCAGAACTTATTCATTCTGTAATTGAATGTTTGTTCCCTTTGGCCAAATCTCTTCCAGTCAACCTGAGGACAAAGTAAAGATAACCTTGGAAAAAAAGCTTCCCAAATAAAAAGATCTTCCAAAGGGGGAAAGGCAAACATTAATTGTAAGAATATAAAAATATAGCTGAAAAAAGATGGGAAATTGAGGAGAAAGTAGGATGGCATTACTGATTCCTGAACTTCTTTAATTAGAGGTTAAGAGACTCTCTCAAGCTTAGAAATGAGGAATTGAGGTGTGACTTGTGTTTACAGTTACACAGTAACCATGACAAAACTTAAAAACAATGATGTCACTGCCCAGCACTGGGAGGAATTGGGAGGGAGAGGAAGATGAGTAACATAAATCATCTAAATTCTTACCTTTCATATTTAGAGGCCACTGCATAACCAGGAAAACAGAATGAAGAATTTTCCAGATACCTCGTATATTCAACACATGCTTAATTCATGAGCAGTTGTTCGTAGGCATTCCCGTATGGCTGGCTTTGTGTCCTTTTAGGACACAGGTATGGAGACAATCTTTGTACCTTAGGGAAACTTTATGGGGCTGATGATCTTACAGCTGCCGAGTTTTCTCCGTTCCATTTTCTATGCACGGTTATAAGAATATATTTGCAAACTTAGAGTCATACCTGCTTTAATGCTCTTTTAAATTTTCTCTGAATTATCTCTAATATTTTACAGAGTACTCTCCAAAATTAATAGCATGGTGCATGGCCATGTGGTCTCTTTATAGTGTTTTATTACATCTAACCTCTGTTCCAAAAGAATATATTCTCAGAGTTCGATTTTTGCTCCCACTGAATGAAAGCTTGGATGACCTTGTTACAGGATGAAAGGTATTTTAAAATTATAACTCTAAAAATTAAAACCACAACATAAAACTCACTGGAATCACTTCTAGATGTGATTTAAGTAACAGAACAATTCACAAGCTACTGTTAAATGAAGGCCGATACAAATACAGCCCTGCTGGAACCTGTAAGTAGGCTCCAAAAACTCCATACCCTGTCATGTGTAGAGCAGGCTTAGTGTAGGTTAATGAAAGGACCAAAGCATCCTGCCTCCCCAGGGGCTGTATCATCGCAAGCCCAGCTAAAGGGGCTTAGCGTACACCCACACAAGTTGCTACCCATGCTGCCTGCTAGCTTTGTGTTTAGGCAGTTCTTAAAGGAGTTAGCTGTTTAAACATTTACATAAAACTAGTCCTTCTTTAATAGGCTAATTACAATATTTCACTAATTTATCTAAAGTAGGAGCACATTTTTAAAAAACAGTACTCACCAGGCATGGTGGCACCTGCCTATAATCTCAGCACTCTAGGAGGCTGAGGCAGGAGGATTGCTGGGAGTTTGAGGCCAGCCAGGGCTACATAGTGAGTTTAAGGTCAGCCTGAACTTCTCAAAAAATCTATTAATCAGTCAGCCCGAGGATATAGTTTAGTGTGAAGGCCCTGAGTTCAATCTCCAGTACTGTAAATGCAGATGGATGGATGGATGGATGGATAGTCTTTTTTTTTAAGATAGGGAGCCTGTTTACAACCAGAACTAAAAGGAGAAATGTTTAAACAAAAGGTTCCTAGGAGATGGGACTAGGGATGGAGAAGAATCTGCCATTTCCTCTATGAGCCATTTAATTTTTTTCCCTTTTGAAGTTCTAGGGGGTTAAATTCTAAGCAAGCACTGTCCACTGCGCTGCATTTCTAGCCCTTGTAAAATTTTATTTTATCTTATTTTATTTTATAGTTCTGGAGTCTATACTCAGAGCCTGGTAAACACTAGGCAAGCATTCCTCATTGAGCCATGCCCGCAGCCCATTTTACTTTTTTATTTTGTAACTAAGTCTTGCTAACTTGCTCAGGCTAGCCATGGACTTGGGAATCTTCCCAAGTCAGCCTCCTCAGAATCATTTAATTGGTGGTTAAGTACATTTATTACTGTAATACAATAAGTATTATTTATTGTATCATAAATACTATGTCTTTTAATGTTTCTCAAGGTCTGGTCCATGTAATACTTACTAAAATGAAGATTCCAAGGTTCTAAAACACAACTCTCCCGAGTTTGGACCCCTTCACTGGGGAGCAGGAATTTGCACTGGAAGCACTGGCTTAGGCATGGATCTTACTAAAGGCTAGTTTGTATGTTCTCTTTGTACATTGACTTAATTACTTTTTTGTCAGTGAAACACAATACCTGACATGAACAACTGTAAGGAGCAAAGGTTTGTTTAGCTCACAGTTTGTAAAGTTTTCAGTCCATAGTTGGCTGGCTCTATGGCAGGGCAGCATGGCAGAGGGACGTTGAAGAGGAAAAACAGTCCATGGCAGGGTAGGAAGGAAGCAGAGAGCAAGGATCAGGAAGAGCAGGGAAGAGAGAGAACCTTCCAGGCCATGCCCCAGGCACCCACCTCCTCCAACCAGGATTTACCTCCCAGTATCGCATTTAACTATAATCAGCAGACAAATCCAGTAATGAGTATCACACCCTCATGATCCGGTCATCTCCCAGAGCTCCACCTATGAGGACAGGAGGCTTTGTGGGGGGACACATCTAGTTTGTAAACCCTAATATACATACGTCAGGATTGAATTTCTTGTACAACTATCGTTGTATTTATTTATTGCCTTTTGTGTTATTTGCCATATCCTAGCATACCTCCCTACAATTTCTTTACAGTAATATAGAGAATAAAAAAATTTAAGAGAGTATTTGTTCTTGACGAGCTAAGAAGCTAAGTATATGCTGCTTCCTCCCTGTATGGTCCTGTCTAAGGGAACAACAATTCTTTTAAGATTATTTAAACTATGCCACCTCTTGAACATATAACAGCTAAGAAAATTTGTTAAATTTTAAAATTCCTCACAGTGACTGGCTTCTTCATTGTGTAGGGAGAAATGTCTTGAGAATGTTTTTGCATCTTGTTCTGATGGCAATCATTTTTCTCATTCTGTGACTGCAGGAATATTGATCTCAGCATTACTCTATTAATGAAATATGATGGCAATAAGCAGAGACACGCACCTCTACCCCCCTGGGAGCTTAATCTTCTGCTACAACATTTGCATTTGTAAGTCAGCACCTGTGTAATCTATAGCCTAACTATTTGTTATTCTCCTTTAATTACATATTGGTAGTGGTCCATTTGCAGGCTAAGAGCAACCAACTGAAGAATCAAAGGGATTATTAAAATATTGACTTTAAATTAAAAGACCAAAAAGGAAATAAGACTGAATTTGTTCCTACCCATTGCAGTGTGATGGTTCAGGAGCAATCATTCCCTTTAATCTCAAGAAAGGTTTTAAGAATTGTGCAAGAAACCCCTATATCTGCTTTGCATGCATTATTTATATTGTGCACTCTTTCTTTCTTTCTTTCTTTCTTTCTTTCTTTCTTTCTTTCTTTCTTTCTTTCTTTCTTTCTCTTTCTTTCTTTCTTTCTTTCTCTAGACATCTGTAAAATCCATAGTCTAGATTTAAGCTCATATTTTCTCAATCGTCAGTGATAGCCCAACAATTAATTATAAACTAATGTCCCCCACTTCTAGATCTAACTCAGGATAAATCATTCTATTGGGTCATTGTATGTCCTTTGTTTCCTTTCATCTGTAAAAGGTTCTCAGCCTTTCTTGGTTTTCTTAATTTGACATTTTTAAATGTCACTGGTCTGCATTTTTTTGAAGAGCGATACTGATTTTCTTTCTTTTAGAGACCCTTCATCCTGGGCGTGTGTTCCTGGGGCAGAGACACCACTGAAGTGATGTGCCCATGTCAGTGTACCAACCCATAGGCATATGGTGGCTCACTATAGTGACAGAGGATTTAATCACTTGGCTAAGGTGCTTTCTCTACTACAAAGTTAGGGCTTTTCTCTTTATAAATTTTATGTAATTTATGGGGATATAGTTTGAGAAAATATCCTGTTTCTAAATTTTTTCTGACTTCTTTAGCAGCCATTGATGATGTTTTACCTCCATCATTCCTTCTATATCAGTTGATACAGTATTTTACTGTAAGAAGAGTTTTCCCTTCTCTACCTATGTACCTACTTAAATATGAAGAATATTTATTTAGGTACTTGTGGATTCTCATGTTGTTCAAGGATTTATATCTATTACTGTTATTTTAATTCTGATCCTCAAATTTTCCCCCATTTAGCCAGTGGGTGGCCCCTTCACCTGGCTTCTTTGTCTCTTTGACATGTTCCTATGACATGACGCTTCAAAGTGCCACTTTTGTGTAGCAACCGGCTCCTCTCTGTTCCATCCCTGGAATTAGTCTTTCCTCCAGTGAGGCCCAGGTACACTTAGTTGAGAAAACTAAATGATTTTGTCCTTTCTTTCCCCTTCACCTTTCAGTAATGCATCTGGTGAGCCCTTAAAATAATCATCATTTTCCATATCTCTTGTTAGAACATTCTGGAGTAGGTTGGCTTTATCCTTTATCCAAACTGCTTGGGATCAGAAATGTTCAGACTTCAAATTTTCTTTTTCAGATTTTGGAAAATTTCCATATACATAATGAGATCTCTTGGGGATATGACCTGAGTCTAAACATGAAATTGATTTATGCTTCCTGCACACTGTATACACGTAGCCTGAATATAATTTCATACAATATTTGTAGTGTGCCTGGCTTTTTATTTTTTTATTCCATGCTGGTGATCTAGTGTGCCTGTGTTTTGAAGGCAATGTGCCATATGAAGTCAGATGTGGAATTTTTCACTTGTAGCATCATTTGAGCACCATGTTAGCTTTTTGTCACTGTGACAAAATACCTGAGGAAAAAAACTTCAGGAGGAAATATTTATTTTTGCTGACAGCTTCAGCGTGGTTAGTCCATGGTGTGCAGGCTCCATGGTTTTAGGCCAGTCTTGAGACAAAATCATCATGGTGGAGGGGTGTGGCAGGAAACCTGCTTACCTCCTGGCAGCCAGGATTGGAGGACAGGGACCAGATGTCTCAAGGTCATGCTCCCATGATCCATTCCTTCACCCAGGCCCCATCTTCTGTTCCTCTATAAGCCATCAAATTGTGATGTCATTGATGGACTCCTCAAGCCCTCCAGATTCAATCCCTTACCAAAATCCCACCAGGCTTTATCATATGAGTTCTGTGGAGCATTCAAATCCAAACTACAGCAGGTGCTGAAAAAGTTTCATATTACAGATTATTTTGAATTTCTGAGTTTTCAGTTTAAGGATGCCCAAACTACATATTCACTTACCTTAAAACTGTTTTGGGAGCTGAGCATGGTTGCACACTCCTATAATTGTGGCTCTTTGGAGGCTGAGGCAAATTGGTGACCACTCTGGGCTACCTAGTGAGTTCAAGCTCAGTGTGAACTGCATAGTGAGACTCAGTCTCAGAAAACCTATAAAGAAAAAAAAAAAACTGTTTGGAATGATTGTATTACCTTGCTTAGATTGTATTACCTCTGCTTTTCAAAAGACCATGCCAGCCCAGGTGTGGTAGCGCACACCTGTAATCCCAGCATTCAGGAAGGTGAGGCAGGAGGACTGCAGTGGGTTTGAGACCAGCCTGAGCTACATCACGAGTACAAGGCCAACTTGAGCAACATAGCGAGATCCTGTCTCAAAAAAGAAACAAAAACCAAAAGACCATGCCAGTTAGAAACCAACGCTCAAAAAGAACAAAAATATCATGTACTGTAATATAAAGGAGACTCAGATCCTGGAGTCACGCCCTGGGCTGTCTGTGGGTCCCAGCAGTTGACATAAATAGGCACTAAAGCCATGAGTGTCAGGCAACAGGGAGGGACTGGCACAGGTACAGATGCGCCTGGCCTGGAAGCTGCAAATCCACTTTACAGTTGGCATTCACTCCGGCAAAACAATAAAGTTAGACATTTAGCAGACCAAGCGACATTTGTTTATAATCCTTATGCACAGAGGGCCTCCTGTTCATGACATCTTTGGTTTTTCTTTCTAAAATATTTGTATTAGTTACAATGCATAATGATTACATTTGTTGTAGGGAATTGGTGCATGTATATAACACACCTCAATCCTTTTCCCCCTTCCCCTCCAGCCCCGCTTTTTGCCAGCATCAGATTCATTTATTTACCTTATAAATCCCTATAAAGTTAATTATCATGCATACAGATTAGTAGCCAGACTAATGGGCCAAAATCATATAAAACACATAAGACAGTTGTACTAAATAAATCAAGGTACACTTCTAGATATAGTGTCCATGCTGGATTACAATAACTTCTTTCCTCTCTTTTTTGCTGTTAGTATCTGTCTTTTAGTTTGTACTTTATTTATGTATTTAAGCTTGTGTGTCTGAGTTACTTCACTTAACAGTACAATCTGAAGGTGCTGCTTTTGTTGTCTTCCATTCAGCTGCCATTGTCCTACAAATGACTCAGGTTTGTCCTCCTTTTTTTTTTTTTTTTTTTTTGGTTTTTCTCCGGTACCAGGAACCGAACTCACGACCTTGCGCTTGCCAGGCAGGCGCTTTGCCGCTGAGCTAAATCCCCAGCCCCAGGTTTGTCCTCCTTTATGACAGAGTAGTACTCCATTGTGTATTAATACCACATTTTCCTTATTCATTCACCTGCTGGTGGACATATAGGCTGTTTCCAAGATTTAGGTATTGTGAGTTGTGCTGTTAAAAGCATGGGTATGCATATATCACTGTAATATGATGACTTTAACTCCTCTGGGAGATAGAAGGGGAATATCTGGGTCAAATGAAATTTCTAGTTTTAGTTTTTTTTTTTTAAGTTATGAGAAGGATTTATTAGAGGTAGATACAGGATGCAATCAGGAGCAGAGTGCAGGTGCTCAGAGAAATGAGGCATACCTTCCGCTTTAGTTTTTTGAGGAATCTCCATACCTATTTCCACAGTGGTTGTACCAGTTTACACTCCCACCAGCAGTAGAGAGGGTTCCTTTATCCCTGCAGCCTCACCAGCATTTGTTACTGGTTGACTTATTTGTAATGGCCATTTTTTCTGGAGTGAGATAAACTCTCAGTGCTGTTTTAATTTGCATTTCTTGAATGCCCAGTGATGTTGCTGTTCATGACCTTTATTTTTTGAGTAAAGCTAAACTAGAGATTTTCACCCTTGTGAGAAGCCACCAAGCCAGGGAGCTCTGGGACATGAACCCTCCCACTGACAGCCTCCCAGCTCCTGCTAAGCAGGGCTCCTCACTGTTCCTTGCTTGATGTGCTGGCAGTGTGGAGGAGTCTGTATGGAGGAGGGAAGGGGTGAATTCTGTATGTATTTGGGGCTGGGGATAGAAACCAGGGCCTTGCACATGGTGGGCAAGTGCTCTGCCTTTGAGCTGTATGCCTAGTCTTGGGACCCATGGGTTTTAAAACAGTTTTGAAAGCCACTGATGTGGCCCAGTCCTCTCCTTGCAGGGAAACAGACTGATGCCACCCAAGCGTGGCCAGTCCTAACAGCATGATGAGGGGCAGAGCCGAGCCTGGAGCCCTGGTCTTTTTACAGGTCTGTGCTTGTCCTGCATGAAATTGTTCCATGTAGCTTGGGGACCACCAGACAAGTGGTCCTGATGTCAGGCCACAAGAACAGCCCCTTCTACAAGTGTGAGAGTGGTTGCTTCTGTTATGATTTGTGTCTGGATGTCCCCCCAAAGCCTCGTGCAGTCATGGGGTGGCTTCTAGAGTTTATGATTGATTCACTGTCCAATGTTGGGATTATGGGTGTGAGTTCTGCACCGCCCTGGGGCAATAGTTTGCTTACAGTATAAGGGAGGGAAAGAGGCTGCTTGCTGCTCCCGGTTTTTTTTGCTCTTGCTGCTTTTGCTGTCTTCCATTCAGCTGCCGTGAACTGTCTCCCTGTGCCATGTGCCACGCTGCCCTGGAGCCAGCCACGTATAGACTGAAATCTGCACAAACTGTGAGCTAAATAAACCTTTCCTTCCTTGATTTTGGGTGTCAGGTGCTTTGTCCCAGCAACGAGAGAAAAGTAACCAAGATATCTTCTATGCCCCGAAGACAAGTGTTCATCTTGACTTGAGAACTTTGTAAACTGAACAGTACTGAGAGGTAGAAAAATGTGGTGATTGGACACTTCA